AGAAATGGGAGAGAAAGAGAAGTGGATGGTTCATTTGCTGTGGGAAGATGCAGACTGGAAGAAGTGAATTCGGTGAGGAGTAGGCTGATGTGGGAGACCTGCTGGTCACCTGGGGCCATGGTGACGTCCAGGCCCAGGCTGCTGCCAAGGACCATGTCTGGGTCTGTGGTCCTACCACAGCCAGGGTCTGCGTGGACATCCACAGTCCATGTTGCCACCAAACTCCACAAGGATTCCCAATGTCTGGGCTGCCACCTGAGGCCATGCCCAAGGGCTGCCACCAAAGCCACTCTGATCTGTGTGGCCTAAATGGCCACCTGGGGCCATAGTGTCATCCAGGCCTGAGCTGCTGCCGAGGGTCATGCCTGGATCCGTGGCCCTACAGCAGCCAGGGTCTGTGTTAATGTCCGTAGCCTATGTTGCCACTAAAAGCCACACAGAAGCCTGAGGTCTGGGCCGCCACTGGGGCCAAGTTTATGCCAAGGGCTGTGCTGCCTGGGGCCATGCTGATCTAGGTGACCTTTGATGCCACCTGAGGCCATAGTGACATCCAGACCCAGGCTGCTGCCAAGGACCATGTCTGGGTCTGTGGTCCTACCACAACTGTGGTCTGAGTTGACAACCGTGGCTCCTGTTGCCATTGAGGGCCGTGTGGATGCCTGGGGACAAGTCAGACACCTGAGGCCATGTTGGTATCCGAGGGCCATGCTGCAGACCATGCAGATCTGGGTGGCCTGCGCTGCTTGCTACCCAATGCCACTGTGACATCTGGCCCAGGCTGCAGCTGAGGGCCATGTCTGGGTCCATGGCCCTACTGCAGCCAGAGTCTGTGCTGAAGTCTGAGGCCCTTGCTGCCATTGAAGTCCATGCCGATGTCCGAGGACCACACTGCAGCTGGGGCTGTGCCAATCTGAGTGGCCTGCACTGCCATTTGGGGCAATGGTGACATCCAGACCCGGCTGCTGCCGAAGACCATGTCTGGGTCCATGGTCCTACCTCAGCTGGGTTTGGTGTTGAAATCCGGGGCCAGTGTTGCCACCAAAGGTCACATGGAAGCCCAGGGATGGGACCACAACTTGTGGCCTTGTTGGTGTCTGGGAGCCTTGCTACCACTGAGCCATCTTGATCTGAGTGGCCAGTGCTTCCACCCAGAGCCAGGATGTCACACAGAGAGGAGCTGCTGCTGAGGGCCATGTCTGGGTCTGCAGCCCAGCTGCAGCTGGGGTCTGTGCGGATGTCTGTGGCCTGTGCCACCTCAGGGGGCCATAGGAACCATGAATGATGGAATCAGAGGGCCATGCTGAGCCAGCCCCACCCGTTGCTGGTCCTGGGAAGGCTGGCCCTGTCTCTCACTGGACACTGCAGCACGTAAGCTGGCTCCAACCCTCACAGGAGAGCTGACCCCTGCCCTCGGGACAGAGGGCTCCACCCCTTACCATAGGCAGAGGGGAGAACCGACCCTGGATGGCATGGGCAGAGGGGAACTGGCTCTGCCCCCTCTCCTGAGGCAGGTGGCCCCAATGGCCCGGACTGACCAGCTCAGCTACCACCCAGGCCCACAGTCAGGCCTTGGGTTGGCCCACCCTAACATCTACCCCATCTAGGACCTGCTGGAGCTCATGAAGAGACTGGTCCTGTGGAACAATACCCGCAGGATCTCCATGACTTGGGGACAGCTGCAGGCTGTCCAAGAGGAGTTTTGGTGAGGATCCAGCGATGATGGTGTACCAGAAACCAGAGGCCTTGAACCAGACCAATGACTCATTGCAATGAGCATTTGCTAGGAAAGCTGATTGGACAAAAGGGTATACTGTGTGACACACATCTCCCAATGCCACCAGAATGAATGAAGAGGTGTTGGGAAGGCAGGAAAGAAGGAGAAGCGAAGATGGTTTGGGGGTGTTTTTTTTGTGTTTGTTTTATTATTATGCTTGTTTGCTTGTTATGTTTTGGTTTGGTTTGATTTTTTAAAAATTTCTTTTAGGGGGGTGCTGCAGGAGTGTGGGGGAAGATATAGGGGGACTGGGAGGTGAGCAGAATTGGGGTGCATGATGTGAAATTCCCAAAGAATCAATAAAGAAATTATGTTTTAAAAAGGTGAACAGTGGAATGCACACGCGCGCGCGCACACACACACACACACACACACACACACACACACACACAGTCCCACCAGGGGTGTCCTATGAAGACTCAGTGGTCAGACAGGCAGGGGAGGTGCTGTACCCTCTGCCTCTACAAGCCTTTGAGAGACACAATGCACACCCCCTGTTAATACTCTCTCCCTCCCCACCTCTCCTGCTGCTCTCTCTGCTGCATGCATATTTCCAGAAGAATATCAAGAAAATGATTTTCCCTGCATAATTACCTGCCTGCTCCCCCACCCACCTACACACATCTTTCAAAGAGTCAGCTTCTCTGATTTATTTAAGTGGACTCTACTATGCACTTAGCAGACAGGTTAATTAATTAAGGGAGCCTCTAGCCACGAGAACTCTGGTCACCCTTCCTCCCCCCAGACCTGCTTCCTCTCTGTTCACTTAGAGGTTATTCACTTGAGGCCACCTTCCAATCGCTGCTGAGCTGGAGGTACGAGGCTGTTTCCCTGGATAGGGTGCTGCCTGCTCCTCCTTTCTGGAGACTTAGGTCGCCCCAATCCCAGCACAGAAGCCAAAAGAAAGTTCCTTTTTAGTGAGATCACTCAGCATTTTCTCCACTAGAACTCAGAAAAACAGCCAAAGGAGCACAAACAATAGAATGGGTTGACTCACGTAATCAGAGTCCAGAAGGAATCGAGGTCCTGGCCAGGGTTCAGGCAGAACAATCTTCATTGCTCTGGAATTCTCCCTGGCTGCTTGCCTCTGCCTGTGAACTTCCTGTTCAGCCTGGCCATGTTCAAGACAACAAGGGCTTAAAGTGTTCTGAACCCAGCTCCATGCTCTACATCAGAAAACTCAGCCGGCCTTGCTCTACGTGTTTTTAAGGGATGCTTCAGGGAACTTCTTCCCAAGGGGCCCATTCAAAAGTCCCTTCTGGTCTGATTGGGACCGATCCATCCTTTACTTGACCGTTGTGATCAGGTGGATGGGACCTGCTGCTGGACATCAGTCAGTCAAGGTCTCTCCCTCAAGCTGGAGAAGAGTGGGAAGTCTTTGTACTGGCGTGAAGGAAGGGTGGACACTCACCCAGAAGGGCATAACAAGAGAATTTGATGCCCGAAGACCCACAACACTGACTGTTCATTCCTGTAGGAACTTCCCTTCTCCTTCATGTTCCAAGAAGCTAAGCTCCACCTCTTTCTCTGGGCTCACCTGCCTGTGCACTTGCCCTCAGCATCTCGAGGATGGCTGACCATCTATGTGTCCCCAGTATGAGTAAAAAGAACGATCAGAGGTAGGGATACAGGAGTGCTAAGCTGGCCACAGGTGGCTGTGGGACTCTGGTGAATCAACAGACAGATGAGTGCTGGGATCAATGGAGCCAGCTGGACAAAGGGGACTAGGGACTGGATGGACATGTATCCTCTTCCACAGACCTCTCTTCTGAGGCCATCAGGGAAAGGAAGAGCCTTTATCAATAGAACTATGGATGCTTGTCATGTCGGTGACTTCAGGGACAATGTAGTTGAAATTCTGTGCGCATTGGTGGGACAGAATGGGACCACCGACTAAGCACAGCTAGTCCCCAAGTGGCACACTGGGTAGATGTATGTCACAATAAAGCCAGAATAAAAACGATGGAACCCCGTCATCAGAAGAGAGAGCAGCAATGACTCAGTGGATAAAGAGTCTTGCTGCCAAGCCTGATGATCTATCTGCGTTCGATCCCCAGGACCCACATGATGAAAGGCGAGAACTGACTCCTGCAAGTTGTCCTCTGACCTCCCGTCGTGTGCCATGGCACATGTGTGTGAACACATGCACATACACACAAATAAAAATAAAATCATTAATAATAATAACAATACGATAAAGTGAGAGAAGCCTCTGGATGCCCTCCTCAGCACCCCTGCCAACATCTGCAGCCAGCACGAGCCTCTAGGTGCTTTCCAGAGCTGTGAGGCATGCCAGACAGTTTTCTTCTACAAATGATTAGTGACAAATCAATCCAAACTTACATGTTTCCCCCTTAGAAGTGAGGACTTAGAGGAAAGAGTCCCGCCCACGTTTTTCTGGTGAAGAAGTTGGCAGCTTGGACACAATGTTCCTTTTCCTTGAGGACTCCTTTTAGTAAGATGAATACATTTTTTTCCTCTTTACTAGCAAAAAAAAAAGGCTGCTGTTCTAAATTTCTGAAGGCTGAGATACCATCCTGCTTTGAGCAGCAAGCTTAGCTCCAGGGGCAGAGACTCCTGCACATCTGACTGGGTTTAGTATACTGCTCAAGCTAACTGTCCAGCAATGCCTAAGACTTATGTGGCACACACATCTGCCATCCTCCTTTGGCATTATTTGCTTCTGTCTTGGTAACCCAAGGTGACTACTGACCTGAGCACTCTACCAGTGGGCACTCTGGCTACCCGTGAGGCCCCTTCCAGAGGAATTCCCTCGTTTTAGAGATCAGTCGTGAAAAAGTGACAGACAGACATCAGGGCTTCTGAAAGTTATCACCCTAGGCTAGGCATGATGGTGCATGTCTGTTATTTCAGCACAAAAGAGGCTGAGGCAGGAGGATCACAAGTTAAAGGCCAGTACGGAGCGGGCTAGGAGGGGGCATGTGGCGGGGGGGGGGGGGGGGGGGGAGGGAGAGTCCCATCGACTCTCCCAGCCAATAGGAGCCTCCTGGTCCTGACTCTATGAAGCTCTCACCTGCTCTTTTTGACTTACATTGAGCACTTCTGTGCCCAGCCAATGGGGTAAGACTGTGCTGGGTCTGACACTGAATGCTAAATCAGGAAGACGTGATCACTCCCCCTCTTTGTCTCAGGATCTGGAGGCCTCTCAGACTTCCCCAGAGAGGAAGGACATCCCTTCCTCACCCAGGCTAGCCTCATTCTGGCACCTTGGTTAATCACTTCCAAGACACTTGGAACTTAAGGGAACTATTAGGGGCACTTGGCCTACAGTCCTAAGTATCTGAGAGGGGTCCACATCCACAAGTCTGGGGTGATCTACTGTGGGCATCCCCTGTCCCGTCCTGTCTGTCAATGAAGCTGATTGCTAGCAGTTAGATGGATGGAGTGTGGACAAGAGCCTGTGAAGTGCTGGGAGTTACAGGACAGAACAGTGCCACCTGGAGCATCTCCTGCAACAGGTAAGGGCATGTGGACAATGGGACCCATGGACTCAAGGGCTTTTAGACCCCAAACCTTATTTTCTACTGATACCTGGATACACCAAAAATAGGAGGTTGGGGCTGAGGTTCTGTAAAGAAGGATTAAAACCTAGATATCACCCACAACCCTTCCAGGGAAAGGCCTTTTTTGGGCAATGACTGCCCCTTTCTCCATGACAGGTTCATGACCATGGTTGTCATAACCACATGCAGACAAAAGGATGTCAACTATCTTAGCTCCCATTCCACAGTCTGATGTTAAGATTTCCGGAGCCAAATAAGTCCCGACTACAGGTAAAGCATCTCCAGCAAGATGAAGTTTCCAGTTCTCCCTGGGCAGGCTGTATTGCTAGAACACATGTGGGTTTCCTTATGCACTGTGTCTAGCAGAAGAATATACAGTGTCATCTACCTTCAAGACACTGCAAGGGACCCTGAAAAATCAGGCCACAGTGGAAAGAATTCTCTGTAACCCTTAAGTTTATCCCTTTTGATGAACAAATAAATGGAGGTTTGAAGAGGTCAAAGAGTTGCCCAGAAAGCTATTAAGGCACATGAGGCCTGGATATGGTGGCACAAGCCTATAATTCCTGTACTTGGGTTACTGAGGCAGGAGGATCTCAAATGGAAAATGAGCCTGAGCTGCACAGCAAAACCTTGTCTTTACTACAACCAAGGGCTGGGCTGGCAAGATGGTTCATTGGGTAGAGGCACTTACCACCAAGCCTGGTGATCTAAGCCACACTCCTGGGACCCGCAGGGTGAAGAGATCTGACTGCCACAAGCTGTCCTCTGACATCTACGTGTGTATACACATACACACCACGGAATAACTAAACAGATAAACAAACAACAACAACAAAAACAGAGGGGGAAATCCCAAAGGCTAAGGACTGGCATGGTGATACACTTCTACAAGCCCAGCACTTGGAATTGAAAGGTGGAGGCAGGAGGCACACACACACACACACACACACACACACACACACACACACACACACACACACGGGCATTCTCATAGAAAGAAAGATGGGGAAGTGTGACTATCTGGACATCATTTCGATCAACTGACACTAATGGAACTTGTACAACCACCCACCATTTAGTAGGCTAAATGCTTCAGGTCCTTATGGCCAGCCATCCTAGTTTTCCCAAGACTGAGACCCTTCCTTGGACATAAGATTTTTGGTGCGAAACTGGAAGAATCTGATAAGCAAGGTCTAGCTGTTTCTCCTACATTGAACCTTCTTGAAACCTTATAAAAGAGACAATATTTCTACTTCCATTTTAAAGATAGGAAACCTGAGGTTTAAAAATATTCCACGACTTGCTAAAATCTCACAGCCCATAAACAACAGAAGCAGAATTGGGACCCCAGAAACTTGACCTCTAGAGCCTGCCAGCTCAACCACCAAGCTATAACAGGGACTATTCTTCAAAGATGAAATCTTGAGAAATTTGACTTGTGAGGGTTCTATGTATTTGAGAAAGTCGCTTGCTCACTGGGAAGAGGGTTTAGAGTATTCACGAGGCTTTTGAAAGGAAGCAGGGCCTCATCCAGGCTGACAAGAAGATTTTGGAGTGGCACAGTGAAGGCTGTCAGGCTGGATTCACTTCCTTTTTACTCTAAAGATGAGAAGCGCTAAGCTGTGAGATCAGGACTGGACACACCCCAGGTAAAGGGTGGAGGATGGAGCCAGGGGAGCTGGAGTGGGTCTGAGGGTTGTGAAATCTCCTCCCTGAAAGTGCTTGTGAAGGGGAGGATCTCCACTTCGCTGCCAAGGCTCTGTTTGACCTGGATGATGGAGTCGGGGATGTGACCCCTTGAGGACCTCCATTTCGGTAGGCAGGAAGCAGCTCCGAGTTTGCCGTCTAAGCAAGGCTACTTCCTCTTCTGTTGGTTTTGGTCAGCAATTAGCAGAGGGCTTTGGGAGCCCCACTGAGACTGGCTTCCCTAAAATTCACCACATAAGCTAAGATTCCCTGAGTGCTGACCATCTGAAGGTCAGAGCTTCGTGCAGAAGAATGAAACAAATTTCATTTTTACAATTGCCCTAGAAGGTAGATCCTGTTAGTATCCCATGGTAAACTGAGGCTTGCTCACCAACTGGCCAAAATTCTCTTAGCTATAGATAAGAACTGGCGTTGGGACTGGGGCATAGGCTGTCAGATGACTCCTCTCCCAAACCCTTGGTGGCTTGCCTTTTCAGCCATTTCAAACTCTGTGGCCTGGGTGAGGACTCCTGCTCCCCCTGCTGAGTCCCAAGGGAACCTCTAAGCATCCCTCCTCCCACTTGGTACTTACCCTGTCTGTGACTCTCCTCTGGGGACACTACAGTCATCAGCATGGTGGCAGAGATCATCACGCCTGCATTAAGAATGGAATGTGATGATGTAATTATATTATAATCTCAAAAATAAAAAGGTTATTTTAAAAAACGGAATGTGAGAAAGGAGACAGAGAATGAGGCCTTCTCACTCCCCACCTTTGTGGACCACCCCTTGGAGACAAGGTTAGTAGGAACACAACTACTCAGTCCCTCCCAGAAGCAGGGAATTTCATCTAAGACAATGATATCTCGGCCTTGGTGAAGGAATTCAGCTTGACATGACTGCAGCCATCTTGAGTCATAACCACCATTATTGACCAGAGTAGCCTTAGTTGTTTCCAAACAAGCTATAAATGAACAAAGCTGTTACAATTGGAGTCTTATATCTTGACCCTCGCTCTAGAATAGTGATTAGATTTAGCTCAAGATGAACCAGATAAATTCCAGCTAACACAAATACTTTTTGACCCAAGTCAGAAAGGGATCTAGCTGGTCCTGCTGGTGCTCAGGACCACATGACATCAGTAAATTCCCCCACTCATTTTTTTAAAGAACTATGCTTTATTGTATGTATTATAATAATAGAGTTCACATAGTAAATAACACCACAATGGAGTGATTTGTTATAGTTTTTGGAATTAGAAAATATTTATTTATGTTAATATTTTATGTGAACCAGTGTTTTGCCTACATGTATGTCTCTGGATTACATGTGTGCCTGGTGCCTGCAGAGATCAGCAGAGGCTATCAGATCCTGGGACTGGAGTTACAGATGGTTGTGAGCCACCATGTGGGTGCTGGGAATCTAACCTAGGTCCTTTGCAAGAGCAACAAGTACTCTTAACTATGGAGCCAATTCTCCAGCCCCTTGATATAGTTGATTGTTTTTTGTTTGTTTGATTGCTTGTTTTTGAAACAAGGTCTCATTATGTAGCCCTGGCTGGCCTGCAGCATGCTATGAAGACCAGGCTGGCCTTGAATTCACAGATTCTCCTGCCCCTGCCTCGACAGTGCTGGAATTAAAGGGCTACACCACCATGCTCAGCCTCCTTGATATAGGGGTTTTTTGTTGTTGTTGTTGGTTTGGTTTTTTTGAGACAGGGTTTCTCTGTGTATCTTTGGCTGTCCTGAAACTCACTCTGTAGACTGGGCTGACCTTGAACTCAGAGATCATCCTGCCTCTGCCTCCCAAGTGCAGGGATTAAAGGCATGCGCTACCACCTCCCGGCTTGATATAGATTAACAAAAACAAAAAAGGGGGGAAATTCAGTTTACAAACACCCCCACCTTCTTCAGTGGCAGCCCCAGAGTGTGGGTGTGGGAGAGCCGGTTCTTCCCCTCACCAGCCCACACCACAGTGGAACAGGCGGTTCAGAGGGGAAGGGAGAGCTGGCCCCACCTCTCAAAGGAGAGCTGGCCCCGCCCCTTGGTGGCAGCTGCATAGTGGTGCTCACAATACTGTAGGCTCAAGAGCTGGCCCTGCCTCTTTGGGGCCCATATCACTGCGTGCAGGGGGTGCGGTGGTGGGCTCGTGAGAGCTGGCTCCAGCCACCGCAGGGCTCTCCTCAGTTGATTGTTTCCAGCGTCCATGCCAGCGGAGAAAGATTCATCCTCCCTTAGAGGGCTGGCCACTAGGAATATTTGAAAGGATGATAAACGGCGCTGGTTACCACGTGGAAAGGTCACGGTCACGACAGAACCCAGTGTTAGTTTTCAGAGCTTTATTAGGAGGGAAAGTTAGGGGAGAGGAAAGGAGAGAGGAGACCCAGTCCTGGAGAGAGAGAAAGATGGTGAGTGGGGGAGGGAGGGAGCAGAGCAGAGAGAGAGCAGAGAGAGCGAGGGGTCTGCATCCGGCTTTTTAAGGTGCTATTAAGTAATCACCAGGCTGTTCATGTAGATCTCATTCCATTTCTCTGTCATTGGGTGATCCCTGTGTCTTTCTTGGGGTCCTGTTTTCCAGGTAGCCTCCCTGGTGATGTGAGTAGCAGACAAGTCATCCTTGTTACATGTCTAGTATCCTGCTATGAGTGAGTACATACCATGTTTGTCTTTCTGAGTCTGGGTTACCTCACTCAGGATGATTTTTTCTAGATCCATCCATTTTTCTGAAAACCTCATGATGCCATTGTTTTTCTCTGCTGAGTAGTATTCCATTGTGTATATGTACCACATTTTGTTTATCCATTCTTCAGTTGAAGGGCATCTGGGTTGTTTCCATGTTCTGGCTATTACAAACAATGCTGATATGAACATAACTGAACAAGTGCTCTTATGGTGTGGTTGAGCATTTCTTGGGTATATGCCCAAGAGTGGTATAGCTGGATCTTGGGGGAGATTGATTCCCAATTTTCTAAGAAAGCGCCATATTGATTTCCAAAGTGGTTGTACAAGCTTGCATTCCCACCAGCAGTGGAGGAGAGTTCCCCTAGCTCCACATCCTCTCCAGCATAAGGTGTCTTCAGTGTTTTTGATCTTAGCCATTCTGACCAAATGAATGGAAACACATGAACTATGAACCAATGGCTGAGGGGTCCCCACTGGATCAGGCCCTCTGAATGGATGAGACAGTTGATTGGTTTGATCTGTTTGGGAGGCACCCAGGCAGTGGGACCAGATCTTGTGCTCATTGCATGAGTTGGCTGTTTGAAACCTGGGGCCTATGCAGGATTGTTTGGCTCGGCCTGGGAGGAGGGGACTAGACCTACCTGGACTGAGTCTACCAGGTTGACCTCAGTCTGTGGGGAAGGCTTTGCCCTGGAGGAGATGGGAATGGGGGGGGGGGGTTGGGGGGAAGGTGAGGGGGACGGGAGGGGGGAGAACAAGGGAATCCGTGGCTGATATGTAGAACTGAATTGTATTGCAAAATAAATTAATAAAAAAAAAACAAAAAAAAACAAAAACAAAAACAAAAAAAACAAAAAACAAAAAAAAAAAAGATTCAATAAATCCATATAAAACAGAAAAAAAAAAAAGTAATCACCAGCTCACACTGATGACATAAGATGCAAGAACCCAAACTGCACATGTGCAGGAGTGAGAGCAGGCTCCTAACAATTTTGACCAAAGTCCAGTAAATATATGGACTGCACAAAATGGACTTTATGGGGGGGAGAGGGAGGCATGGGGGAGGGGCTGGACATGGAGGACTGAGAGGTGAGGGCGATAGAGGTGTATGGATGGCCTTCAAGTGGTTTTGAAAATTATCCTATTGAAATTTTTAGTTCAATCGTGTATCTTAACTAAATTTACAAACAAACTTGTTTATTCAACTAAAAACAACAACAAAAACAAAATATAAAAACCAGAGTTTTTTCTAACCTCAAGTTTGTGGCCAGTAGTTAATTTCCAGGTTTCACTCATCATTTGATAAAAGTACTCTTCTAGTTTTTCAATTTCATTTCCTGCTGAGGTTTTAAAACATTCTGTATATATCTTATGGCCTGTTCAAGAAAAAAAAGTGTTATTACTACACATAAGTGTTTCTACACATTCATGTTGTCTATAAAGTTATAAATCAAGAACAAGGTTAGAAACTTGTGGTTTGAATAGGAATGGCCCCCATAGACTCATATATTTGAATTCTTAGTAATTAGGGTGTGGTACTATTAGGAGGTGTGGCCACACTGGAGGAAGTGTGTCACTGGGGGTGGACTTTGAACTTTTCAGATGCTTAAACCTGGGATGTGGATGTAGAACTCCCAGCTACTTCTCCAGCGCCATGTCTGTCTGCATACTGCCATGCTTCCTGCCATGATGACAACAGACTAAACCTCTGAACCTGTAAGCAAACCCCAATTAAATGCTTTCCTTTATAAGAAAAAAAAAAAAACCCTTCCTCCCCCACAAACAAATTTCCTTAAAAGAAATCACTTTTCTTAAGTGGGTCATTGTGACAAATGCATCCAGAGACCAGTGTCTAGTTTCTACTACACTGATGATCATTTGTTTTTAAAGCTCAGTGTTCACAATCACTGCCTCAAAGGAAGATCACACATTGGACTGTTATGAAATACAAAAATAGAAATAGTTCTTGCTGTTTCCATACCCGAAAAGTTGAATTCACATATTCATACACATAAAAAAATTAAAAAACTATGACAAAATTAAAACTAGAAAAGAAAGTCAGCTTTATATGTCTTTCATGACTCATGTCCTTTCACCCATGTTCCCTCTCACCTAATGTCACCCTCTCCAGGTCTCTTTTCTGGATTTTAGATTATGCCTACATTCACATCTGTTTGCATAAATACACTTATATATCAGGCTGACATGCATCCCCCCACTAATTTACTCTGTGATTCTAGATCTGCTTGCCTTTCTTTCTTTGGTCTCATGGCACCTTGGAGCCAGTTGTCATATGTTAGGACTGGAGCATTCTGGGACACTTGGAAAAGAAGGGCTTCCAGCCCATCCTAGGCAAGCCCCTAGGGCTTCCCATTCGCTTTGCTGAGTAGAATCGACGTGCTACGCAACATCTGAATAAGCATCCTATAAGGTACTAGTTAGTCTCAGTCCTGAGTATTCTGAGTTCCAGCCTAGAACACCCAGGGCTACTCTGCATAGCTGTTTAGTTTGTTCGATGCACAAGAGTGTATGGCCAAGAAAGTTAATGGGGCTGTGCACAAAGTCACTGTCTGGGTTGCTGAAAAATGTCAAGTTTATCTCTCTCTGTCTAAGAGCCCACTTGGCATCTGGTGAGCATCTCAATCTTTGCACGGCCAAGCCTCAATGCTTGCTGTCTGTCCACCTCAACCAGGCCACCCCACAATTCCTTTCTCAGTGACTGGTGCCTGTCATCACCTAGATACTCAAGCTAAAACACAGGTCTTCTGCTGTGGACATCGCTCTATGTAAATAAACACTGATTGGCCAATAGCCAGACAGGAAGTATAGGTGGGACTAACAGAGAGGAGAATTGAGGAAGGAGGAAGGATAGGAGGGACTGCCTGGAGCCGCCGCCAGGACAAGGAAGATGTAAAGTACCGGTAAGCCATGAGCCACATGGCAAAGTAAAGATTAATAGAAATAGGCTAAATATAAGAGTAAGAGCTAGACAATGATAGGCCTGAGCTAATGGCCAAGCAGTTTAAATAATGTAAGAGTCTGTGTGTTTATTTTATAAGTGGGCTCCAGAACTGGCGGGACTTAGAGGGAGCTGGAGAGAAATTCTCCAGCTACAATCTTCTTTGCATTGGCTTTCATGTCTAAGCAAGTAGCAGGTCTGTCCATCGGGCCAGTTGCTTTACCCTGCGAAGTTCTCATGCAAGAAAAAACAACCACCCACACGTGCATGGACTGTTACAGATACCACCCGTCACGGTGTCCCCTGCATAACACTTCAAGGGCCTCCCATGTTCTTTGAACGATGTATGTGTCAGTCATCTTTCTGTCACTCTGACAAAATGGCTGAAATAAACAAATTAGAGGGAGGGGAATTTTAGTTCGGCTCATGGCTTCGGAGGTTTCAGTTTGTAGTCACCGGGTTCTATTGCCCTTGGGCCTATGGCGGCACAGTGGAGCATGCAGTAGAGGAGACTGTTCATTTCGTGTTGTCAGAGAGCAAAAGAGAGGGTAAGGGAGGATCTGGGATCTCATATCTCCTTCAAGGACATTCCCCCAGCGAACCAGTTTCCTTCCACGAAGCCCCACCTCTTAAAGGCTCTACCACCCCCTAATAGCACATGTGCCTTCAGCACGTGAGCCTTTGGCGGATGTTCCAGACCCAGGTGATAGCAATGCTTGAATTTGTCAGTTTACAGATGCCTTCAGAATCTGGGCTCCACGCTTGTTCCTAAATCCTCCACCGAAGGGAGATGCCTGGAGCCATCATAAAGATGTCTTGCCCAAGAGCACTCCCTGCTTGGAGAGGTGACAGTGACAGAAAGAGCCTGGGGAGGCCTGCAAGCAGCTGCTTGAGGAGGTGAATCCATGTTGCAGAACCAGTTGGAAGGCTCCCGATGGGAGATGAGGTGAAGGTGTCTCTGAGGAGCCCATGAGAGTGCCCCGTTCAGAAAGACCCAGGAGTACACAGCACTGTGGAGAAGGCCAGGATGTCAGCACCCTGGTCCTACTTTGCTTTGGTAGTCGCTTTGTCCTTGAGGCTGGGTGGCTCAACAGTGGGAGGAGTCCCACAGTGGCTGCCTCACACTGCAGAGGCAGAGAACCCGGTAGTTGCTCAGTCTATGAGGCTGGGTGCCTCAGCCAATCCGGCACTCAAAACCTGGAAGTTTCCTGGAGAGCTGCTGGTCCTTAGTCGGCAATAGAAGGCTGGAAATGCTGGTTCTGATATCAGCGAAGGAATCAGAAGCATCAACAGCCACAGGGTAAAATCAGCTCTCCAGCGAGCTACAGATGAATAACCCACCTTCTGTTCTGTCCCCTTTTCATCTGGGGTGCTTCCAGAAGATGCCAGCACGTCTGGGGGAGAGTTTCCCTCCATCAGTTAAGGCAATGTGAACAATTTCTCACTTGAGGCTCCCTACCGAAGTGATCTTAATTTATAGAAGGTTGACGTTAAAACTGGCCACCATAACCCTGCTTTCTCACTCACTGTCTCTCTCCCCTGCCCTTGTCCGTATCTGGGGAGTCCGTGAATACTAGCTAGCAAACGGGATGATCTCAAGCAAGCAAACAAGGGGCCATCACCACTTCCTGTCTCTACTGGAGGCTTCTGCTGGTGGCGAAGTCAAATGGCAAATAAATGGGAGACTCTTTTTAAAAAGATCATGTTGATGATGGCTGGCCAAGCTGTGCAGCCTGCCTGAGGGTTTCCCCAATGGCTGGAGGTTGCATTCATTACTTTTGTGAAGCTGTGACCAAATTCCTGATATGAGCAACTGAAGGGAGAAATTATTTATTTTGACTTACAGTTTCCTTACAGTCAGGTCACTGTGGCTGGGAGGGTACAGCAGGGCGCAGCAGTTCACATCCTGGCAAGGAAGAAAGCAAAGAAAGGAAGAGAGGAAGGGGCCAAAGGACAAGATGTCCTCAATGGCTGTACTAGTCAGGATTCTCTAGAGGATCAGAA